AAATTTATGCTTTCTGAAAGACACTGTTGGGGTACCTGACTGGCTTAGGTGGTAGACCATGCATCTCTAGATCTTGGGGCATGAGTTCAATCCCCTCATTGGGCAGGGAGTTTACTTAAAAAAGACACTGTCATGAGAATGAAAAGACAAGCCACACACTGGGAAAAAAATATTTGTAAAAGATATATCTGATAAAGAACTATTATCCCAAATATACAAAGAACTCTTAAAAAACCAACAATAAGGAAACAACCCAGTTTAAAAATGGGCCGAAAACCTTGACAGTCACCTCACCAAAGAAGATATATTGATGGCAAATAAGCACGTGAAAAGATACTCCACAGTTCACATCATCAGGGAAATACAGACTAAAACAACAGTGAGATACCACTACACATTTATTGGAATGACAAAATCCAGAACACTGTAACACCAAGTATTGGTCAGGATCTGGAGCGATGGGACTCTCATTCATTGCTGGTCGGTATGCAAAATGATACAGCTACTTTGGAAGACAGGTTGAGAGTTCTAACAAAACTAAACCTACTTTTACCATTTGCATTCCTGATATTTACCCAAAGGAATTAAAAACTTATGTCTTTACAAAAACCTGCACACACATGTTTTTAACAGACTCATCATAATTTCCAGAACTTGGGAACAACCAATATGTCCATCATTAGGTGGATGGGTAAACAAACTGTGGTATATCTAGATAATGGAATATTACTCAGTGTTAAAAAGAAATGAGCTATGAAGCCATAAAAAGACATGGAGGAACAATTTACTAAGTGAAAAAAGCCAATCTGAAAAGAATACAAACTGTATGATTTCAGCTATATGACATTTTAGGCAATGGAGAACTTTGGAGACAGTAAAAAGATCAGTGGTTGCTGGGGGCTTGAGGGTGAAGGATAAATAGGTAGAGCAGAGAGGACCTTCAGAGCAGTGACTCTACTCTGTATGATACTGTAATTGTGGCTACATATCACTATAAATATGTCCAAACCCGCAGAATGTATTACATCAAGAGTGAACCCTAATGGAAGCTATGTACTCTGGGTGGTAATGAAGTGTTAGTGTCCACTGTGGTGAAGGATGTTGTCAGTGGTGAGGTGTGGGGATGGCTAGGCATGTGGAGGGGAGGCAGGAAGTTTATGAGAAATCTCTGTACTTTCTGCTCAGTTTTGCTGTGAACCTAAGACTGCTCAAAAAAATAAAATCTATTTTAAAAAAGGCAGATGGGTTAGTGGAAGTTTATGTTAGAAAGATGAGGCAGTTTTCACCCTATCACATCTATTTCTGTTTGAAATTTAGGATTGGTGATCAGCTGAGAGTGAGCGGGAGATAAGTGTAGGAGGTGAGGGGAAAAGAGAAAGTGTGAAATGGATCTCTCAGAGACTGCTAAGTTGAATTTGCTAGGAAATCAGAGTGGTAAACTTTGCAAAAGAAGAGTGCCAGTTTAGGGTGCCTGGCTGACTTAGATGGACGAATGTGCAGCTCTTGATCTTGCAGTTGTGAGTTCAAGCCCCATATTTGGTGTAGATAATACTTAAGTAAATAAACTTAAAAAAATGCTAAATTGAGATTTCTGGCCATAAATATGAAGTGAATCTTAACATTGTTTTTAATTTTTTTAAAACAATACTTTGATCAACCAGTAGAAGGAGGGATGTCTGTTACCTGGATTGTGGTCTTGAAGTATGATTTTCTACTAGAAGGAAACAGGGATTCTTAGAGAAATGGCTCATTTCAGGCCTGGGACAGACTATTTATAGACAAAAAGGAACATTTTGTCATAACCGAGATCAAGGAAGCTGTCCAAAACTATTGTCAGGTCAAAACGACTGAGAGGCCAACATGAACAGTCTTCCACTGGCTAAGTATGGGACACTTTTAGTATCAATAAAGAAAGTAACTCTGATGGATTAAAACACATCAAGTATGTTTAAATCCATGAGTTCATATTGGTCCAAAACACACACACACACACACACACACACACACACACACACACACACAGACTTTAGTGGAAACTCTTGAAGGATTCTAGCAAATGAGCTCTTTATTTCAAAAACTGATAAATAAAGGGGCACCCTGGGCGGCTCAGTCAGTTAAGCATCCAACTCATTTATTTTTTTATTATTTTTTTAATGTTTATTTTTAATTTTTTAAATTTAATTATTTTATTTTATTTTTTTACAAATAGTTTATTGTCAAGTTGGTTTCCATATAACATCCTGTGCTCATCCCCACAAGTGCCCTCCTCCATGCCCATCTCCCCCCTTCCCCCCCATACCCATCAGTCCTCAGTTTGTTCTCAGTATTCAAGAGTCTTTCATGGTTTGCCTCTCTCCCTCTCCCCCACTATTTCCCCCCTTCTTCTTCCCCTTGGTCCTCCGTTAAGGTCCTCCTAATCCTTCTATACGTGCAAACATATGGTATTTGTCCTTCTCTGTCTGACTTATTTCGCTCAGCATAACACCCTAATTTCCATCCATGTTGCTACACATGGCCAGATTTCATTGTTTCTCATTGCCATGTAGTATTCCATCGTATAGATAAACCACATCTTCTTGATCCATTCGTCTTTTGATGGACACTTAGGCTCTTTCCATGTTTTGACTATTGTTGAGAGTGCTGCTATGAACATTGGGGTACATGTGTAATGTTTATTTTTAGAGAGAGAGAGAGAGAGAGCACAAGTAGAGGAGGGGCAGAAAGAGAGAGAGAAACACAGAATCTGAAGCAGGTTCCAGGCTCCAAGCTATCAGCACAGAGCCTGACACAGGGCTGACTTGAACTTCCAAAAGAGAGATCATGACCTGAACTGAAGTTGGACGCTTAATTAACTGAGCCACTCAGGCGCCCCTAAGCATCCAGCTCTTGATCTTGATCTGGCTCAGGTCATGATCTGACAGTTTGTGGGATTGAGCCCTACATTGGACTCTGCACTGACAGCGAGAGCCTACTTGGGATTTTCTTTCCCTCTCCCTCTGCCTCTCACCAACTAGTGCTCTCTCGCTCTCTCTCTCTCACTCTCTCTCTCAAAATAAATAAATAAACATAAAAACAAAACTGGTAAGTAAAGAGGAAGAATCCAGCATTTGTATCAGCTTTACCATTGGATAACCAAACAATAGGTGTAGTGAAATTTCTCTTTAAAGGAGAATTTCAGCAAATGAGGAATGATTGACAGAATTGGGATATCCCATTGTAGCCCCTAATGAATTAATGAATGTAGATATTAAGCATTAGCGGCTGTTAAAATCACACGAAGGGCTATAAGATACTGTAACTGAGCCAATGTGAGTTTGCTCATTGGTGAAATCAGAAACTGCACTGGGTTGAGTTGTCAGACAAAGCACTTTATTTGCAGCAAAAAAGGAGATCATGGGGAATGGCTTCCAAAGCCATGACTCCTAAGCAAGGGTGGATGGTTTGTTTTGCTTAGAGTTAGGATGAATCTTTAGATAGAGATGCCTCGTCATCATTGTATGTAAAGCCAAGGTCATGCATGCTCCTTAAGGAAACATGTCTATACATACATTGTATGTTATGTAAACAAGGTTTGTGCTCCTCCCTGGGCAGAGAATTTAGTATTAGAATGAGATAAAAGTAGTTGTTGGTTACTCTAGAGGTCATTCCAGGATCCATCTGGGTTGGGGTTAGTTGAGTCAGGGGTTAAGTTCACACTGGTCTGGATAGTCTGGGCCGGCTGGTTGCTCAAGGGGCAGTTTTGCTTTCCATTTTCCTGAGTTCAGAGAGAAGCTAGAAAGATGAGGTAAGGAAAAAACAAGGACAATGTCAGTACAAGCAGGAGGGCAGGAAAGGTCAAGTCTTGAGGTCTAGCTGGTGACAATACTATGCATCTTCTGAAGTGTCTTATAAAAAAAGGACATGAATCTCATTAAGCCTTTAGATTCAATTACCAATTTCTCAAGAAATACAGAAAAAAGATTAATTTGGTAATCTATACCATAGGAATTTAATCAGCAAAATTCAGATTATGGGAAACTTTAAACGACAAATTGTGTCTAGGGGTGGCTTTTCATTTGGATAATAGAACTTTAAGTTAAAGAAAAGAGACCTTAAAAGTTGGGACAGTTGTTACTCTTAGGAGGGGAGGGGGAGTTTGATTGGGAGAAACATGTGGAGGTCTTCTGGGATGCTGGACAAACTCTCTGCTTAAATGCTATCCTGTACAAGGGTGGTTGCCTTATAAAAATTCACTAAGCTGTACATTGCTTGTATCTGGCTCTCTGTATTTGAGTTACATTTAACAGTAGTAATGTAAAGCTTTTAAATGAGATTAAGACATTGGAATTCATTTTTTATTTTAATTTTCACTTAATTGTTAGGCTTTCATAGGAAATGGGAGGCAGGAGAGGAGCAGTGTTAAAGACTTCAATTGAGTCTTAAAAACAGAGTTGCAAACAGCAACTAACTGCAGAACAAAGAATTGTAACTTGGATATTTGAACTTAAAAAAAATCAAGTAAGTTTCACACAAAAGGGATGCCCAACATTCTTCAGTCACTTAAGCCATTTCCAATACAGGCTTTCATCTTCACACTGTGACTATGTAATCAAGTGGAGTGTATACTGAAAATGCCTGTTTAAACATACTTTATCTTTTTCTAAGTGCTTTTACATATATTATTTAATGTAAATAAATCTATGAGTGGAATTGATAATGCCATTTAAATTCTCTGGATATAAAAGAGTGAATGCTTATTTAATTACAAAATATTTAAGAGTATGTAATAAGAATGAACCTTTATTATTATAATCTACCTTTATTATAGATGTCAGTATATTTAAAGTAATTTCTCCCTTATTTATAAGATTCCTAGTTTTCAAATGTGTAAGGAAATAATTTTCACTAGTTTGATAAAAATGGAGGTGTATCAAACAAATTTGAAAAAAAATTTTAAGTATTCATGATAGTTTCACAGGTCTGAAGTAAATTATTAACTACTTTTTTTTTTTTTCTGTCAGAGGTCTCTTTATTAGTATCCATGATCGAGGGCATATTGCTTCAGTTCTTAATGCATGGCCAGAAGATGTCATCAGGGTAAGTTATCCGGTTTTTCCACTATGGCAAATTTGTTCTTTTTCCTATCCTGTACTTAACATGCTGACAGTTTTCATGATATTAGATAGCATTCAGTACCTTTTCTAGTGAATGACATCTAATTTATATTCCTTTAATTTTGCATACTGCATTAATTTTATTCTGATGCCATTTAGAGACTGTTTCCCCATTATTTTTATCTAAGTTCTTAGTATTTCTTTGTTTATTGTAAATGATGATAAGTGTTGAATAAATGTTGAAGTTGCCTCTGAATTTCTTTAAGCAAAGTCCATTTTCACATTTGTTGGGTTTAATCATCCACTAAGTGGAACACAGGTAGACAAAAACTCCATTAAAGCATTTCGTTTGTCATTGTGACCTTAAGTAGCTCATCTGATTTTCCTCTGTGAGTGAGCTAATGAAAATAAAATAACAATAGTATCCAACATTTAGTAGCTTTCAGTAGCTTTCAGTGTGAGACACTACTTGGATTAACTCTTGTATTTATCATGACAATTCAGTGAGGAAAGGAAGGGGGGGGTGCTATACAGTAGTGCACGGTGGTAGCGGAAAGGTGCATGAAAGCCTCAGCCCTTGCTCTTGGACATGGACTCTATCCCCTTCCCTGTCTCAGGAAGGTGAGAGGTACTTGTCCCTCTCTTGGCTCTTGTTTTTTTTCCCCTTTCCACCCTCCTCCTCCCCACCCTCCCTCCTTCCTTCCTTCCTTCCTTCCTTCCTTCCTTCCTTCCTTCCTTCCTTCCTTCTACGTGTCAAGCACTTTGTTCTGTTTTTTTGGAGTAAGAGTGAACAAACTGATGCTTTTTAGGGATGCAGAGGCACTTCAGCTGTGACTTCTGAAGCATCACTCCCTTACTGATCTTTCTTTTGAGCAGTCATGGCTAGAATTGATTCACTCTGCTCTTTGAGGCTTATCCCAGCCAAACTTGTAAAGCAGGATGTTTTTCATGATTTCCAGTCTTCCCAGTTTTTTCACTTTTTTTTTTTAGTTTTTCTCCCACAGGCTACATTGCACTGTCCACAGATTCTGTCCTTAGGAACTATCCCCAAAACGTGTTAATTCCTGTGGAATATAAAATGTCTAAGGACACTTACAATTTAACTGGAATCTAGAGAGAATTGTAAGAATGAGTCAGCATAGGGGGTGCCTGAGAAAAGGACAAATATCATATGTTTGCATGTATAGGAGAATTGGGAGGAACTTAACGGAGGACCATGGGGGAGAAGAAGGGGAGAAATGGTGGGGGAAAGGGAGAGAGACTTGAATGCTGAGAACAAACAGAGGACTGATGGGTATGGGGGGGGTAGGGGGGAAAAGTGCATGGAGGAGGGCACATGTGGGGATGAGCACCGGGTGTTATATGGAAACCCAACTTGACAATAAACTATTTGTAAAAACAAAAAACAAAAAACAAAAAACATAGGGGGAGCCTGGGTGGCTCAGTCGGTTGAGCGTCTGACTTCGGCTCAGGTCATGATCTCACGGGTTCGTGGATTCGTGCCCCGCATCAGGCTCTGTGCTGACAGCCAGCTCAGAGCCTGGAGCCTGCTTTGGATTCTGTGTCTCCCTCTCTCTCTGACCCTCCCCTGCTCATGCTGTCTCTCTCTCTCTCTCTCTGTCTCAAAAATAAATAAAACATTAAAAAAAAAAAAGAATGAGTCAACATGGGAAATAGTTTTGGGGTAGAGAGGGCTAATTAATATGGCTATTAATTTTAAAGTTAATAATTAATATCCATATAATCATAACAGGCAATACGGTCACCTTGCTTTATGTTTTTCCTTCCAGCTCATCTCTGAATATTTATCTTCATTAGTAGCCTACTTTATTCTTTCAGCTCTTAATATTAAAAGTCTGGTATAGTATCTGACACCTAATAAGCACTTAAATGGCAGCTGTTTATTATAAAAGAATATTGAAGAATAAAATGTAGTCTCTACAGTGTAGTTGAAGGCACACATAAAATAAAGGCAATCAATTATTAGATAATATGTAAGTAAACTGGGATAAATTATAAATTCTATATTCATTCAAAGGAGATTATCATTCAGAGAAGGCTGAAACAGTGAAGAAATTTATTTTAGCAAAGTTAGAACTTAGATTTAGCCTTGGAAAATTAGAAAGGGAAGAGGATCCTATCTTAGGAAGGGAAGAGATGCATATGAGTATCTAGTTCAGGAAGAGAATGGTGTGTTTTTGTGCAGTAAGTGAATTGGCTGCCCTGACCAAAGCTAATGTTAATGTTGAAATGTGGCAGAATTAAGCTTTCGTATTATTATGAAAGTTCTTGAAATTCAGAAAGAGGTGTTTATTTTTATTTTTATTTTTTTACAAATAGTTTATTGTCAAATTAGTTTCCACATAACACTCAGTGCTCATCCCCAAAGTGCCCTCCTCCATGCCCATCCCCCCCCAGAAAGAGGTGTTTAGACTTGAAATAATAGAATGTCGTACTTAAAGAAGGGGACTGGCTTTATGTAAGTAGTGCTTGAGGAGAATGTTCATCAGAGAAGGGAGAAGAGGCAAGAGTTCTGCACCCAGGGTGACCATAGTAGGAAGGCCCTTGGGAAGGAAAAGAAGGAATGAAGATGAGACACGTGGCCAGGGTGTCTGCGTGCAGGGGAACCCCTTCGTGTTTCATACATAGTTACTAGTTAGGAGAAGCCCAGATAATAATTGAGAGTGGGATGAAGGTTGAATTTCGGAAATACAGACATGACTGAGAGAATTGCGGATGTCTTTCTGAGATAATCCTGCTGTGGTGACTTCACTGTTGTATAGAAGACATCCAGCTGCTTGATTTCCCTTACGTGGGAGACAGAGTAGGTGAAAACAAAAGCTAAGGGAAAGTCAATTTAACGATAAACTGTGTAGATGGCAAATTTTTGTATTTCAGAGGGTTCTCTAGCTATTAATATCTACCCTTCAGTGATGAAATGTTTGTGAATTAATGCCACAAATGTACATTTGTAACAAGGCACATAAGCAGCTAAAATAACAAATGCCTCAAAAACAGCTTAAAAATTACTAAAATAACTGTCACCTTTATAAATGTCCATAGCATATTTATATAATAAAATTAATAGCTTAGGATGAGAGAAGAGCTTAGGGAATTAAATTTATGAAGAAATGAAGAAAAAGATAGACAGATTAATTTAGACGTGCTATCAAAACTAAATGAAAATACTATGTTATTTTCAATCCGTCTTTCTCCTCCTCCTACCCCGTCCTCTTTCCTCCCCTCTCTCTGGAGAGTGCAAGTGAGAAAGGGGCAGAGAGAGAGGGAGAGAAGCCAGGCTTGTGCTCACCCAAAGTGGGGCTGGAGCTCACTGGAAGCAGGGTGGGGCTTGAGTTCACAAACTGTGAAATCAAGACCTAAGCCAAAGTCAGATGCTTAACAGACTGAGCCACCCTGGCGCCCCTTAATCCCTTTTTCAAAAGTATTGAAATGGATGAAAATCATAGGTAGTAGCTCCCCGGGTCTAAATATTTTTACTGAAACCTGGAAAGCATTATATAAGTTATTATTCAGATCATATCTAAGTTATATGACAATGTTGCTGTCCTAAAATATCTTCTAAAAATATTTTAAAAATATATCAGGCCAACTGGCTTTATGTGTTTAAAGGACACATTTCTAAAAGTATACATTATCAGCCATAGAGAAAAGTACCTCTGTTCATGATAGTATGATAATCTATGACTATGATAGTCAAATAAATGAAGTATTTGGACTTTGGAAATTTGGTTTTAATTTAAAAATCAAGGTTACTGTTTTCTGTATTATTTGTTTCTCTTTCTTATCTTAGATCAGAGCCAACTAACCCAGTGGTATCAAGTTGCCTTCTTCAAAACAGCATAATCTGTTGACCCTTTGCAATTAGACATGGAAAATATGACAAAGATCAGCTTTATGGGATATGAAAAAATATTGTCACCCACTTCTCAAATGTATTTATTTTTAAAGCAGTTCTTTAACAAGAGCTGTGTAATATAGGTGAACAGAAAAATAAAAACATCTCAAAAGTATATTAAATTTTTTTTTAGTTTAATTTATTTTGAGAGGCAAGTGGGGAAAGGGCGGAGAAAGGGGGAAAATCTCAAGCAGACACTGCTGTCAGTGCAGAGCCCTATGTGAGGCTTGAACTCACAAAACTGGAATCATAATCTGAGTATAGAGATCAAGAGTCAGACATACAACTGACTGAGCCACCCAGGTGCTGCTCCTCAAGAGTATATTTTAAAATGTGTTCTGTACTGTGACATAGTGGAAAAACATTGTACTAGAGGTTACCATACCCAGTTTCTGGTTCTTTGGTATTAATCAGGTAAATCCCCTTAGGCAGATGATTTCACTTCTCTTATCTTCAGTTTCCTAATCTATAAAATAAGAGGGATGGACTAAATAGATTCTAAATTCCCCTTCTAAAATACTGTGACTCTATATAATACTCTTGATGATAGTAGTATTGATAGGTATAATTTGTTGAGAATTTGTAATGTATCAGATACTATGGTTAAGTACTTTGCATATCATTTTATTGAATCATAGATTTATTCAATTAATATTTATTCATTGTTTACTATGTGCCAAATGCTGTGCTTGGTGCTGATGCACAGTAGTGAACAAAACAGAGTGAGTTTTTATTTTTATGCAGCTCTTCTGAAAAGTACCTTTATTCTTCCCATTTTACAAATAAGAAACAAAATTTAATTTGTCCATTTACTTAAGGTCAAATGACTGACATTTTTCAAGGCTCCATGGAAATGATGACTGTAGCAGTTTATAGAAAATCTGTTAAATTGTCTCATGAGATTGGCTTTGCTTAAATTCATATAATGACCATGAATCACAGAACAAGGATGTTAGATATGTTAATTTCACAGATATCAAATAAAAATACAATCTCCTCATGATTAAAATGTATGGCTCCTAGGTATTCAAGGTGATTGGAAAGAAACTACACAAAATTCATTGAGTCTAGTGGAAGATTACCAGGTAAAAGAAGTAGCAGACTGCACTTGGCATATTTCAAAAAATGGTAGAACAATATCCAGTGGTTATAGTTGCCAAAGAAGATGGATCAACATTGCTCTGAAAATAGGATGTGTGAAAATTGCTGTGAAAATGGTGCCAGGATGCATAAACTATACATCAGAGCATTTGGAGGCTACTTAACAATCATGCATTATTTAACTAGGGCACTCCCAAATCATGCCCAAAGTGATTGGGCTGGTTTCAAAGCTTCTCTCAGTTTCACTTTGAGCTCCTGTTTCCCTGTAGTCTTCCCACGTGCCACAGAAATTATTTGAATCTTCATGTACATATCATTTCTTCTTTCTTCAGTAACCAATTTATCATATATATGTATTTTTAAACTATTTTTAGTTTATTTATTTATTTATTTTTAAAAATAGTTTAAAAATACATATCAACTTTATTTTTTCTCTGCACTCTTCCATACTTAAGATCATATAAAATCTCATACATGTATACTCAATTTATGTTTTTTGATAGCTTAATATTTCATTACATAAGTAGAGACTTCTACTTCTGAAGTAGAGACTAGGAACTGTGCCCCTTGATTTTCAAACATCTATTAATAGATTTTTTTACCCCCTCTTCTAGGCTGTTGTGGTGACTGATGGAGAACGAATTCTTGGCTTGGGAGACCTTGGCTGTAATGGAATGGGCATCCCTGTGGGCAAGCTGGCACTGTATACAGCCTGTGGAGGGATGAATCCTCAAGAATGTCTGCCTGTTTTTCTGGATGTGGGAACAGAAAATGAGGTAAACAATTTAAGTCTAAGACAGATGCACACCTTAAAAAATAGCACCAATTCTTGCATTTTGAGCTTTTTTCTAGAACTTTATGAAATTCATTTTTTTGTGTCTAGTTCTCCCTCCCTCCTCAAACTTATCCCCCAAGTCTTATAAGAAAATTATTCTTTCTCTTTTGCCTTTTTCTTCCACTTCTCTATAACACAATTAATCTTTTACTAGCTTCTTTAGTGTTTTATCCTTGATGAACATTCACACCATTATCTTACAGAGTATATGCTTTACTTTAGGAGATCATAGTTACTTTTTAAAATTTTTGATTTCGTACTATGTAGGAACTAATCCCAAAGGATTTACTGAGTTTAATCAGTGTGAAATACAGTTTTACAAATCTGTTTTAAATCTGTGGTAGATGATTTGGAATTTGTTATTCTTGGATCATTATTTTAGAATCTTAAAGTTGTATATCAGTATATATTTTTGTTCATCCTTTATTGCTAATAGTTAGATCCAGGTATATGATAGATACTAGAAATTAAAGGTAGAATATGTACAGTTTTTATAGTTATTTTTTTCCCTTCTAAAGTAATTGACCCATTAGTAATATATTATTAGCTTGGACAGTTTTTATATTCATTAATAGAGAAAGTTAAAATATTTAACTTTCTATATGTGTGAATGCTCATTTAACCTTTATAAAGGAACTTTTTTTTTAAGTTTTATTCATTTATTTTGAGAGAGAGAGAAGGAGGGAGAGAGCACAAACAGGGGAAGGGCAGACAGAGGGAGGGAGGGAAGAAGGGAGAGAGAGAGAGAGAGAATGAGAATCCCAAGCAGGTTCTGTTCCATCAGTGCAAGAGATTCCCCAAACCTGACTTTCAGGCTTGATAGTTCACTAAAAGGACTCAGATCTCACTGAAAGCTATTATGATCACAATTATAGTGTATTGTAGGGACAGGATATAGATTAAAATCAGTGAAAGGAAAAGATGCATAGGACAGTCTCAGGGTTCCAAATATGAAGATTCTATTTTCCTTTCTGTGGAGCCAGGCCAAGTTACCCTGTGGTATTAATGTGTGGGATTGATATGTAACGCCCACTGTTCAGAGTTTTTCTTGGGGCTCTATTACCTAGATGTGGTTGATTGATTGATTGCCCATGTGAACTTAGGCACCAGTTTGACTGATTACATTTGGACCAAAGTTGCCCACCCCAAGTCACATGGTAATTTTTTCTGATGTGGTCAGTCTCTACCTGGTGACAGTTGGGGCTCCTAGGCTGTTAAGTAAAATGGTCAGGATCTATCCAGAATGGTTGAATGCTTGTGAACCATGTCACCAAATTTATGCAAACAATAGACAAAAATCTAAGAGACAAACACACAAAAGGAAAAATAAGTCTAAATTTTAATGTTAAATTAGGTAGAATTCAGTTTTAAACTCATATAAGATTGTGGATTTGATCATTCAAACTCTTAAGGAAATGTAGCTCCTATACTCTATAAAATGTTCCGGAGTATATTAAACTTCATAGCTCTACATTTCATTTTGTGAAAATGATATGACCTTGATATCCAAATCTGGTTAAAAAAAATAGCACATAAAAATTAACTGATAATTTGGCTCATGTTTACCCATGTACCTTTACCACTTTCTAGGTTTGTCCTCTTGAAAAAGTTACTGAACTCTTCTGTGCTTCAGTTTCCTTTGTAAAATGAGTACCTGCTTATAGAGTTATCATAATTTAATGCCCTTGAGGGTTTATAATTGTGATTAACATTTTGTAATTACTTAGTAAATGTTAATTTTATGAATATAGAGGTAGGAGCAAACATCCTTCGTAAAATACTGGCAAACTGAATCCTGAAGAATTCAGTTAATGTCAAAAATTATTCAGACTATTAGCAACATAATAATCCATGGTGATCTATTAGAGGAATTACATTAAAGAGTTACCAAGACACTTGTTATCACTATTCTCTTTGATTATTCAGAAAGTACTAGCCTTTGAAATAAGACAAGAAGAACAAATGTGATATTTGACTGGAAAAGACAGTTTTCATTATTTATGGATAATATGTTTATTGATGAAACCCAAGAAAATCAAGTAAAAATTATCATGACCAAATTAGAGCGCTCAGTAAAGTGATTGCTTATAAAATAAATATTTTCTTTTAATGTTTATTTTTGAGACAGAGAGAGACAGAGGATGAGTGGGGGAGGGACAGAGAGAGAGGGAGACACAGAATCCAAAGCAGGTTCCAGGCTCCAAGCTGTCAGCACAGAGCCCAATGTGGGGCTTGAACTCATGGACCATGAGATCATGACCTGAGGCAAAATCAGATGCTTAACCAAGTGAGCCACCCAGGCGCCCCATGCTTATAAAATAAATGTTAAAAACTCAACGTCTTTCCTATATATTTGTAATAACTAATCAACAAAAATTGTTTCATTTGCAATAGCAACAATAGTTTATTCTTCTAATGTTATGGTGTTCAAAATTTTATCCAAGAAATAGTGACATTTAATTTGTTTCATCAGAAGAATGTTGTTTTTAAAATGTATACATCTGTCTTCTTTTTTCCCAAAAACTAATAGAGATATGCTTTATTTATTAAGCAGAATATATTTTGGTTTTTACTTAGCTTTCTCATAGATTTTATTCACTTTGGGACACATATCAACTGTATTCCATTTAGAATAAAGCACTTATATATCAGATAGAATAGAAGCCATTTAGATTCTAGATTAACTTTTCTGTTGCTTAAAATAGATAGAAATGCTGTAACACATGACTTAATTTTTCTGTTGTGAGCTAGTGGAGTTCAAAATCTGTTAGTAACATTCTAACTTATGAGTAACCTGAATTTTTGTATATAGCTGTTAATTAATATATAATAGAGAATAGAAAAATATTTAGATAGAGATGAGTTGCTAACTCTTAATGTTCTTATTTTATTCATTCTGACCCTTTTTTCCTTTTTCTTTTGTACTGCTGCTTTACTGAGAAGACAAAGAATTTAATTCACTAAAATATGACAGTATGAAATATAATGGAGTTTTTATGTTGCTGCTTTATGTTCCACTTTCACATGTGGAAAACTGTTTTCAGTGAAAATATTCCTGTGGTAAATACTTTTTGCTTTTCCCTGTGGTAAATGCTTCTAATCTCCCCTCTTTTGTGAATCTCTGTTTAGTTTTATACCTCATGGTAAAAATATGAAAACAAATTGATTACATAACTTATTTTCTTATCCAGAATAATCTAGCAAAGTTTAATGAGAACTAGATCCCTTTTTTATAAATTGTAAATGTTTTTCTCTTTTATTATAAATGCCTATGTTGAGTAGTAATGAAAACAGGAAAGAAATTAGGAGCCGGTTGATAAGACATTCTTCACTTGGTATAAAGTCATACTCACCTGGCTTCTTAAATCTCTGCAGCTTTCACCTAAAGGAGATTTAATGGTCAAAGACACTAATGGGAGGCCTGTCTGGTTCAGTTGGTGGAGCATGTGACTCTTGATCTCAGGGTTTTAAGTTCAAGCCTCACATTGGATATAGATAGAGATTACTTAAAAATAAAATCTCTACCAAAAAAAAAAAAAAAAAAGAAAAAGAAAAAAAGAAGAACAAGGATACTGAAACTGAACCATTAAAGTATTTGGCTAAAATATACTGATATTCTTTATGCTAATAAAGCAAAGCATTCATTTAGTCAGGATATTTGTGTTTCTGTCTTATTTTTCATCTGTTACTTTACAGATCACGTTTTCTTTATGTCTCTTGTGAAACAGTTGCTGTATACAATTTACTTCAAGTGAATTTCCCTCAGTTGTCTTTTCAGAGCATATGTATTCAGTTTCTTTTTAAATCATTGTTTCAAAATCTTTTCATAGGAATGTTTATTATTTGTCTATTTTACCTATATAAGTGACCAATATCAAAGTTTGCTCTTTGACTAAAGATGTGAGTAGATGTTCCTTGTGTCCCATATATGCTGATCTGTGTTTTATTAGGTCTTGAAGACTGCTTCATGTGTTACGTATTAAAGTTTTCTAGGGCTGCCATAACAGTACTACAAACCGGGTGATTAACCAATAGAAATATATTTTCTCATGGTACTAAAGGCTAGATATCTAAGATCAAGGTGTCGACAGGGTTTATTCTAAGGTCTCTCCCCTTGGCTTTTCTTCCTCTGGTTTTCCTCCATTGTCTTCACATAGTCTTTCTTCTGTGTGCGCCTGTGTCCTAATATTTTCTTATAAGGACCCTAGTTATATTGGTTTATGATCCACCCTAATGACCTCATTTATTTTAATCACCTCTTTAAAAGACTCCATTTCCAAATACAGTCATATTCTGAGGTATTGGGAGTTAGGACTTCAATATATGATTTTGGTGAGGACATAGTTTAACCCATAACATTTGGTCAGTCTTCAAGAGGGCAATGGGCACTTGTTTTTACAGTTATTCTTTATTTATTCATTGCCCTAGGTCTCAGATTTCTGATACTAGTTTTCTGTTTAGTTTGGCCTTCAGTTCATGTATACAGTGTATCTACATATAGAGTCCTTAATGGAACTTGTACTCAGGAAGTTAAAGCCTCCTCCCATTCAGAACGTTCCCCCTTGTCTTCCAGAAAGTTGCTCTTCATATTTGGCATGAACCAGCTATGATGGAGAGAAACTAAAGAAAAACCTTACAGACTTTATATCACATGTAGCTGCCATATATCTTCTAGCCCTTGTACAGAAACTAGTGTTGGCACTAAAATGTGGCCTTAACGTGTTAGTTTTCTATTACTACTGTAAAAAGTTATTACAAATGTAATGCCTTAAAACAACACAAATATATTACATTATAGTTCTGTAGGTCACAAGACTAATGCAAGTCTCAAAAGGCTAAAATCATTAAAGGTGCCCACAGGGCTATGTTTCATTTCCTGTCTTTTCCAGCTTCTAAAGACAGCCTCCATTCTTTGGTTCGTGGTGCTCTTTTCCCATTTTC